TGTTTTATATTGTATATGCCAAGAGAAAAAACCTGGAACTCTTCAACATGCCAGGTATGACTAGGTAGAGCTTTAAAGGCACTGTGCCATGTTTATTAAGGACTGATTTCAATGAGGCATCCTGTTACACTGTTTAAGACACTGACCACTAGGTGGCATGTTAGTATACTTTATAAGGAGCCTCTTACCCAATTTTTGGTTTTTTTGCAAGTCTACAGGGCCAAATGATTCATTCATACTCCATCTATGGTAGCCCTACCTCAATTACCCATTTACAACTAGCTTCTTAAAGGTTTATTTGCTAATTGAAGAGCCAATGTTACCTTTCTAAAACTTTGGTCCAACAATGGACTTTCACGCTTTCAGTCAACTCTGCAAAGCGTGGTACCACCCACCTGGCCTTCATGGAGAATAGACCTTCCTAGAAATACAGTATTGGTCATTTACCATTTCTTTATGGGCTGAGTCAGACAAATTATATGGTGCCAATTTTAAATAGTTTTATTGAAGACATTGCATTTCCACTTATAGTACAGTGCTTATAAAGTGCAATGTTATCTTTTCCCTGTGTACATGTTCCATTATTCAAGTATTGAGAATGCCCAGTACTTTACTATAGCAGTTAAACTTTAATAACTGCCACAGAATTTGCTACAAATTTAGGTCCTTCAATTTTATTGTTGTGGAAAAATGCTAAATCTCTATTTGGGGTTGGCTTAATCAACCTCTTCAATGGTGGGCCCTGAGGAAGCACCACCAGAGGGAGGAGCTCCACCACCAGGGAAGCCCCCAGGCATTCCTCCAGGCATGCCTCCTGCACTCTGGTACAGCTTGGTGATGATAGGGTTGCAGACTTTCTCCAATTCCTTCTGCTGATGTTCAAATTCTTCCTTCTCTGCAGTCTGAAAACAAAGTTTTTACCAAATTAAACACAGTAGCTATAACTTTTGGGGTTAGTACAACCTCATACTATAAAGTCTATAGTTTTTGTGCAACTGTAGTAAGATCTTGTTTCTTTTTAAAACCTCAAGTCACTCAGACATCCAAGGAAGGTATAAACTGCCAACATGTCTTGAATTCTGGTGGAAACTGCGAATGTTTGGACCTTTCATCACAGTGACCTTTATAAAACCAAGTGTTATGTCTGCAGAGTCCCCAGTCAAGAAAATTACCAACCTGATTTTTATCCAGCCAGTTGATGATTTCATTACACTTATCAAGAATCTTCTGTTTATCTTCATCATTAATCTTGCCCTGAAGTTTCTCATCTTCAACAGTTGCTTTCATATTGAAAGCATAGGACTCCAGTGAATTCTTGGAGGACACTTTGTCCCTTTGCTTCTCATCTTCAGCTTTGTACTTCTCTGCTTCCTGGACCATTCGCTCTATGTCCTCCTTGCTCAAACGGCCTATAAATTACAAAAACATTGCGTATCAAATATTTGGTTCTTCTATATTGTCTAGTCAGCACCTGTGACACTGGACTTCAGTGAAGAGCTGTATCTGTAGTACACAGGTAACTAAATGGATATGCCTCTACTGATGCCAAGACATGGCACTTCCAAATCCCCAAACTCCCAAACTTACCCTTATCATTAGTGATGGTAATCTTGTTCTCTTTTCCTGTACTTTTGTCCACAGCAGAGACATTGAGGATACCATTGGCATCAATATCAAAAGTGACTTCAATCTGAGGAACACCACGGGGTGCAGGAGGTATGCCTGTGAGTTCAAACTTGCCAAGCAGGTTGTTATCCTTGGTCATGGCACGCTCACCTTCATACACCTTGGGTCAAAAAAAAAGTAGGTTACTAACAATGCATTTAGATGTTGTTATGCTTTAAAGCTCAGCTAGGAAAGGCTGATCGCTCAGACATCCAAGGAAGGAACTGGCCAACACGAAGCTTCTGGTGGAAACTACGAATGGTTTTGGAATCCATCATCACAGCGGGCAATACTTTCCTGATTTTAACCTCTGTAACCCAACCCAAAACAGCAGAAAAATACCTGAATGAGCACACCAGGCTGGTTGTCAGAGTAGGTAGTGAAGGTCTGTGTCTGCTTGGTAGGAATGGTAGTATTACGCTTGATGAGGACCGTCATGACTCCACCAGCAGTTTCAATACCAAGTGAAAGAGGAGTGACATCCAAAAGCAGCAAATCTTGAACATTTTCAGACTTGTCTCCAGATAGGATGGCTGCCTGAACAGCTAAAACAAGAAGTAACAAACACTTAGATATACACAACACAACCCCCAGTCACCTCACTATAAACATTTTGTTCACTCAGACATCCAAGGAAGGAATTGGCCAACACAAAATTTCTGGTGGAAACTACAAATGGTTTTGGAATCCATCATCACAGTGAATCAAATTGGCCTGTAAGAGGCTGCCCACAGGGTCTTATTAATAGTGATATTAAATTACCTGCACCATAAGCAACTGCTTCATCAGGGTTGATACTTTTATTTAATTCCTTCCCATTGAAGAAGTCTTGTAGAAGTTTCTGGATCTTGGGGATACGGGTAGAACCACCCACCAGGACAATGTCATGGATCTGTGACTTGTCAAGCTTAGCATCTCGAAGAGCCTTCTCCACAGGGTCCAGAGTGCCACGGAACAGATCAGCATTCAACTCTTCAAATCGAGCACGAGTAATGGAGGTATAGAAGTCGATTCCTTCATAGAGGGAATCAATCTCAATACTGGCTTGGGTGCTGGAAGAGAGGGTTCTCTTGGCTCGTTCACATGCAGTACGAAGGCGGCGGACAGCTCTCTTGTTCTCACTGATGTCCTTCTTATGCTTGCGCTTGAATTCAGCAATAAAATGATTGACCATTCGGTTGTCAAAATCTTCTCCACCTAAGTGGGTGTCCCCAGCTGTAGATTTCACTTCGAAGATGCCATCTTCAATAGTGAGGATTGACACATCAAAAGTGCCACCTCCTAAATCAAAAATCAGCACATTTCTTTCAGCTCCGACCTGCCATTAAAAATAAACTATTACATTTCTGGCAACTCAAAATTTTTAATGTGATCTCTCTCTAGGAAGTACTTACCTTTTTGTCTAAGCCATAAGCAATAGCAGCAGCTGTTGGCTCATTGATAATTCTGAGTACATTAAGACCAGCAATGGTTCCAGCATCTTTGGTTGCCTGACGTTGAGAGTCATTAAAATAAGCTGGCACAGTCACCACAGCATTGGTAACAGTCTGGAAAGAAAAATTATAAACGTAATTGTACATAACCATCCTTATTAATTCCGTGCATAAATTTATGTGAATACACAAATTCCAGTACCAAATGGATCACACAAATCGCGTAAAGAACCAAATGACTGGCAGTGGCCTTAAAAATGACACATGCGGTTTTGTCTATCAAAATAAAGTCTCACCTTCCCAAGATAAGCTTCTGCAATTTCTTTCATCTTTGTCAGCACCATAGAAGACACCTCTTCTGGGTAAAAGCTCTTTGTCTCTCCTTTGTATTCTACTTGAACCTTGGGCCTGCCTGCATCGTTCACCACCATGAAGGGCCAATGCTTCATATCAGACTGGACGACAGCATCATCAAATCTACGTCCAATCAGACGCTTGGCATCTGTAAAATGTACCAGTACAATTCACGATTCCACTTTTTCAGATAAATAACCAAGCCCACAGTATACCTCTGGTACAATTCATGCTTTGAACCACAAGGGCCTGCTCCCTAGCCTGCAAAAAATACCTCTTGCTTGTTCAAACGCCCATAATTTGTCATAGATGGATTTAACTCCTAGGCACGTGAAGGCTCATGTTAACTAGCTTTACAAAAGTCTCTACCAAGATCTTAACTAAATGCCACAAACAGATCTTTCTAAAACACACTTTTTTTCCTCTGAGCCCTTAGCCTTTATCACATTTAATTTCATGGGCTTCCTCTTCCCCTAACCCCTAAATTCTTTCTCCAGTCAGTCACAATTAGGTACTTACCGAAAACTGTGTTGGTGGGGTTCATTGCCACTTGATTTTTTGCAGCATCTCCGATCAGTCGCTCGGTGTCAGTGAAAGCGACGTAACTTGGAGTGGTTCGATTTCCCTGATCATTGGCGATTATCTCCACTTTTCCATGCTGGAAGACACCCACACAGGAGTAGGTGGTGCCCAGATCAATGCCAACTGCAGGTCCCTTCGACATGTTTGCTGTAGAATAAAAAAGCCGTGTTTAAAAACGAAATCCCGAGGCAGCCTAGCACTAGCACGTTCCCTCAGTCCGAGTGAAGCAGGGCGATCAATACGATGGCTGCCAGGACTAGGCGGCGTCCCACGGCCCATCTGTGTGACCTGCAGACGATGGAGGGGCAGCGCCGCAGGCCGGGCTGCTGTGCCAACTCCGGAGCCCGACGGAAGTCGAGCACGTGGGCGCCCGTGACCCCGCCGGAACCGGACCCGCGGCCGGGACACCCGCTTCCTCGCGTTCCCCACGCCGGGCCAGCCAGGCTTCCCCCGCGGGGCTGAACTGACGCGGGGCGCCGGCTACGCCGGGCCAGCTCTCTCCCGCGCCCGACAGCGGACGCGACAGCCTCCGCCTCAGCCACGCGGCCAGGAAGCCGGCGAGGGGCGCCGCCCCGCTCCCCCGCGTCCGGCCCCCGCCCGCGCCCAACTCCCGGGTCCTCCCAGGATATCCACAAAGGCGCCGCAACCTCCTAACCGGAAACTGAGCTGAAAGCCACGGCCGGCGCACGACCGCCGCAGACCGCCCCCTCCCCCGCTACCTCCGAGGCCCGCACTGCGGCACAGCCCCTCAGGCCGGCCCAGGTCCCTCAGTTCCCAAGTGACTACTAGAGACTAAAAGGGTAAGCACTTACCTTCCGTGTAGGCCCGGCTGTGCTGGCGAAGAAACCACACAAAAAGCCACTAAGCTACAGGCGCGTTCAATGAGACCGGTTTTCGGCCGGCACCCTGTCTCTTATACCCCATCTCAGAACCTTCCAGAAGGGTCCCGCCCCGCAAGCTGTCTGTCTTAGCCCCTCGGCCAATGAGCGCCCAGCTCCCTCCTCACGCCCCAATCGAAAGGTTTCTCGACTTCTCGGGCCTCGCCTCCTCCCGCCCTCATCACACCCACTCTCGCGATGACGCACCACCGCAGCGTTCTGGAACTTTCAGCCTCCCCCTCCCGCTCTCCCCCTCAACCCCAGCTCTCCGAACTGCCCGGGGAAAGGGAGGGTGGGGCCTAGAGAGCCCGCGCGCGGGAGTCCTCGGTCGCTCCGGTGGGGGAGGGGAACGCCCATTTCTACGCATGCGCCCCCATCCGGCGCAGGCGGACCGGGAAGGAAGAAGGAGGCGGAAGAAGGGCGGGCACGCTTTGAAACAACCAATGGCAGTAGCGCTACCTGAGATCTTGGCTAGCACGGAACCAAGGCTGGATAAGCACGTCTTGAAGGGAGGGGTCTGGGCCCCTGATGCCAGGAAAGAGAAGACGGAAGTGGAGCGAGGACAAAATGGCTGCAAAGGTTGTTCCTCCCCTCCCCCACAGAGTCCTCATGTCGCCTTCCCCATCCCCCACGCGGGGCTCAAGGTGGTCCTCGAGTCCCCGCCAGGCTCTGCGAGCCCGCATTTTGTGTCTAGCGAGGTTTTGAGCTGTGGCTGACCCGAGGCCGGCAGAGGGACGGTTCCGGCCTTGGCATTGCGAGGGTCATTTCAGGCCGCCGTGGGGCTCGCCTCTGCTCTGCGCGGGTGCCGAGGCTTAAGAGCCCCGACGTCTCGGAGCTCCAGGGACGCCTCTGGTCTGGACCCTCCGTGCAGACCCCGAGGCCGATCGGCACAGCGGGCCCGCGGCCCCCGCAGCGCGGAGACGGCGTCTGGGTCTCGTTTCCGCCGCTCTCCCACATTTCTCGGTAATTTATGAGAAAAAGGTAGCGGTTTGGCATTTTTCCCCCCTTTCTTTCTTGGAGGTGAGCAATTCTAGGTTCCGGTGGCCCTGTGTCCTTGATTTAGATATCCTGAGCTTTTTTATTTTCGGCAACATGAGGTAATGTCTTTCCCGGCTTGACTTCTATCAGAAAGCAAACGGCAGCCGGTGCAGTCTTTGTTGAAAACCGAGCGGCTGAGCCCCGGCACTGAATCGTCAGTTGTGCGCAAGGCAGGCGCTGGGGGCCTTGTCATCCTGAGCTGTGCGTCCCCTGTGCCTTTTCAAGCAGACGGACCCCTTCGTCTGTTTACTAGGGAAATAGATACAGGTAGATGAAAAGATTTTTTAAAAACTAATGTACCGAGAATAGTAGCAGGGCTGGCATCGGAAGGTGCCCAGAGGAAGGTCCTCCGAAGACAGGACACCTTGACCTTGTCGGAGGAAATAAAGCCTAAAAACAGACTCTGATGTCTGAAGGAATGTTTCAGTTTTGCCTCTTGGGGAGCGTGTTGATTTGGACGCTGTGGGGGTGTATACAGGACTTCTGCCTCCCTCCCAAGAAGTTCCTTGTATTTATAATTTTTGCAGTAGGATAACCAGCACCACAGAATGGAACGTTAGGGTGTTTTTTTTTTTCATTTAGAGATGAGCAACTTCAAACTTTCTCCTACTGAGCACAAAATCAACACTGCTCCTTGCCTCAGCTCCCCGAACAAGCTGGATCCGGTTTCCTTTCCGCGAGAAAGGGAGGAAAGCTGAATTTGGCTGAAAGTGATAAAGATGTGTGGAGATGTGTGTTAGTACTGTGTGCCCTCCAGCTCTGTTCCGTCCTGTAAGAGACCCTCACTCTCCTATATAAGGTGATTTGAGGCAAATGGGTCCCTCTATCTTTTCAAAACTAGCTTTGAATAAATCATTTCCTTTTTACCAAAATGAATAGCGTCTTTTAATGGGGTCAGCAATGAGCAAATGGACACCAGTGGCCAGTAACAGTAGGGGGGATTGAATGCAGGGCCTTAGTACTGCCCTATATTCCTGGCCCTTTTAGTTTTTATTTTGAGCCAGGGCCCTGCTAAATTGCTCAGGCTGGGCTTGAATTTGAGATCTTTCTGCCTCAGCCATTCAGATCACTGGAATTACAGGTGTGTAGCATCATGCCAAGCTCCAAGATACTAATTTTATACAATGCTTTTTCAATGCACAGAGTGCTTTAATATGTTATTTAATCATCAAAACAGTTTTTTTATTTGTATTGGGAGAAAAGTGTGGCGCACTGATGTTACTGCGGGTAAACAGAAAGCTGGGTAAGCTAGAGTCAACCCTTCTGTGGTACAGTGTAATTTTCCTTAGAAGTAGATTTAACTCCACTTACAGTAGGAAGATGTGTTCCTCAGGTCACTTAATTTTATTTGGTTATCTGTACTCTTTGTATCCAAGAGCTGGAAGCTTCACTGTATACTTTCTTGATGACATGCTGCATTTTGCATTTTAATAATTAATCTCTGAACTACATAGATTTTAATCATTGAGCTAGTTGGGAAGTAGGACTGGGGAGTCCCACCCAGTAAGTGATTATAGAGTGCTTGTCTCGCATACTTGACATCTGGACTTGGTTTGCTTATCAGCATCATAAAAAGACAGACTAAGTAACCTGTTTCTGGTCACTCAGAATTTGTTCTAGTATTATAGACAGCTAAGTTAGGTAAGAATATTATAGGCAGTCAGACAGGGCTGGGCCCTCAAGAGGATTAGTGTGGAAGATGAGACGACATTGCAATTTTGGCTGGAGTCACATCTATGAAAGGCCAGGCCTCAAGATAAATATAGTTTTTGGTTTTTGTTTCTGTTTTGTTTGAGACAGGGTCTCGATGTGCAGTTCAGGCCAGCTTTTGAGCTCAGTTTGTATCCCGGGCTGGTCTTGAACTCATGGTGATCCTCCTGCCTCAGCCTCCCTAGTGCTGGGATTACAGTCCTTTTTTTTTTTGGTTTTACTCCGGTACCGGCAACTGAACTCACGATGTTGCGCTTGCCAGGCAGGCGCTTTACAGTCCTTTATAATCCTAATTCTTTCAGGCTATATAGTCTGTCTGAAATTCCTTGTCAGTATTAAGCACACATTCTTGTTTTATTTGTCTTAAGCTTTATGAGCTGCAGGGAAGAGCGGAAGGAGCATAGACTTTAGAGTCAGGTCTAGATTCAAATTCAAGCCATGTACTTGCATAATGACAGAGATAATTTCAGCTTCTCTTACTGTAAAACAATGCCTTTGGAGTTGTTGGGAGGATGGTATAAAATGGTGTGAAATTTTCTAGTCTTTCCTATCATAGAATCGCCCCTTTCCCTGGGACCTTTTTTTTTTTTTCCTTGTCCTTTTGAGACAGCCTGAACTCATGCAGTTCAGGCTGACCTTGAGCTCACTTTGTACCCCAGGCTAGCCTCAAACAACAATCCTCTTGCCTCAGCCTCCCAAGTGCTGGGATTACAGGCATGCACCACCACACCCAGTTTTCCCTGGGACTTTTAAATATGTATCAGATGATGCAGCCTTTTATCAAACTCTTAAAGGCGTCCAAGACCCATAAACTATTAGGGACCTTTCTCTTGTCCATAGGGCTGGGGATATAGCTCAGTGGCAGAAGTACCTGCCTGGCAAGCACAAGGTCCTGAGTTTGATTCCTGGTACCAAAAAAAAAAAAAAAAAAATTATAGGCTCTTTTCCTTAACTTTCAGAGCCAGTCTAATAAGGAAGATAAAATTAGGGGAAACAGACTGACAGGCTTAGTTTTCTGTTCTGGGTGTGTGTGCAGATAGAATTTAAATTCAAAACAAACAAGTCATTTTGGACATAGTTCCTGGTTGGTTACCACTTCGTCCCCAGTGTTCTGGGAGAAGAGGAAGGCCCTAACAGGGTTGGGCCACAGTTAAGAATAAGAATATTGTTTTCTTTTACAATGGCTGGTATTATTGAAATAAGAGTATTAGGGTACCATTAGTTGAAGAAACCATCTAAATAGATTATTTGAGTCACCATATTCTTTAGGCAGTATGTGAATCCCAAGTTAATCAACCTGGGATAAATAACCTTGAGGCTTTCTTTCCAAAAGGTTTAAATTTAGAATTTAATTAAATAGGCTGGGTGTGGTTGCACAGGCCTATAATTCCATCACTCAGGAGGCTGAGGCAAGAGGATCGTCATGAGTTCGAGACCAGCCTGGGCTACAAAGTGAGCTCAAGGCTAGCCTGAACTGCACAGTGAGAACCTGCCTCAAAAAAAAAAAAAAAAAGAATTAGATAATTTGTATTAGGATTATGTGCTATGGTGTTCCTAAATACTCACTTTGAAAGATTATTTAACAGAAGAGAATGGTGAACTTATATAGTAGTTACTTTTTTTTGAGACAGGGTCTTGCTATGCAGTTCAGACTGGCCTTGAGCTCACTTTGTAGCCCAGCCTGGACTTGAACTTGCAAAGATCCTCCTGCCTCAGCCTCCCAAGTGCTGGGATTACAGGTGTGAGCCACCATGCCTGGCTAGTAGTTACTTAGTTTAAAACCTCAGCTATTGCAAACAATTCTTTTTGGATCCAGTGACATGACTAAAAGTTGCGGTATATAACTTGATTGCCCAAAGACTCGAATGTATTTACCACATTTTGTTAGAGAAGTTGGGAACCAGAATGACTCAAGCCGTTATTAATATTTGGACTAACTACAGCCAGGTACAGATTACTGCTGTTAGAGAATAGCATACATATAAGTAATCCCTGTATCTTTCCCTCTCATTATTTCTTCCCTCCCTAACCAGATTATACTCTAAATACTGTCATGCCTAGGGTGGTGTTTCACCGGTAGAGTCCTTGTTGCTGTTTATTACATGGTTATGTGCAGAATGTGCTAAGCACTGCATTAATTTTGCTTTTCTGTTTATTCATTTATCTTAGTACTGGGGATCCAGGTGTGTTTTACTGCTGAGCTGTCATATAATGTCTTTTTTTTTAATTTTTTTGATGTGGCCTTGCTTTGTAGTTCAGGCTGGCCTCAAACTCAGCAAGTCTTCAGCCTCCTGAGTGCTGGGACTACAGGCATGTGCCACCATGCCCAGCTAATAAGTCCTTTTTTTAAAATTTTTTTCAATTCTTGAGATAGTGCCTTGCTAAATAGCTGAGGCTGGCTTCCAGCCTGCAGTCTTCCTGCCTCAGGCTCCTGAGTAGCTGATGTTATAGACATGTGCCACTATATGTGGCTGTGCTTTTTTTTTCGTTCCTTGAGACAGGGTCTTCCTGTGTAGTTTAGGCGGCCTTGAACTCACAAGTCCAGGTTGGTTGGCCTCCAACTCATAGCAATCTTTTTTTTTTTTTTTTTTTTAACCTCATAGTGTTGTAGGCAGCTGAGTTAGATAGAAATATTATAGACAGTCAGACAGGGCCAGGCCCTCCAAGTAGCCAGTATGGAAGACAGGATACCTTACAAATGGAGTGATGGTACTGCCTTTGGGCCAGATCTGAAGACTAAAGATGAAACAAACACACCCTCTTACCTCCCAAGGGATGGACCTCAGGGATTTACATTCTAAATAGGTAGCGATCACCTTGAAGAGCCCTTGACCCAACCCCTTACAGGAAAAGCCCCTGTTCTGTATTCATGCTTGCTTGCCGTGTGACTCACTTCCCCATTTGATCCCAATTTAATCAATTTTACCTGAACAATTCTTATTGGCTGACCATACTTTTGTCCATTTTTCCTTACCTTGGACTTACCTCACCTTGTGGTTTTGCTCTATAAAAGTCCCTAGAAGAGCCAGAGTCTTGGGGTAATCCACTCAGGCCCCCTTCTGTCCCTCTCTTGGACGGAAGCTTTCTTTCCCTCAATAAATACATTCTGCTCTTAACCTCCGTTTTTCCTAAAATTCATTCTTTGATTTTAGAGAATGCAAACTTGTCCCAGGTATCATTCAGGTTGGGAGTTTTTATTTTCTCTTAACAATAGCAACCTTGCTTCAGCCTCTAGAGTACTCAGATTATAGGCATGTGCAACCATGCCAGGCTTTATTTTTATTTTGTTTTTAGGGGGCTGGGGATTTAGCTCAGCGGCATGGTGCCTGCCTGGTAAGCACCAGGTCATGAGTTCGATTCCTGGTACTGGAAAACCAAAAAAAAAAAAAAAAAAAAAAAATTTGTTTTTGGTTATTTGAGACAGGGTTTTGCTATGTAGTTGAGGCGGTCCTTGAACTTGCTAGGTAGCATACTAGTTAGTGATCCTCCTATGTCAGTCTCCAAAATGCAAGGGTTACAGGTGTATGCCATTTACCTTATTGCTCTTTATTAATTGAAATATTTTTGGAGCTATTTATAAGTAGCAATACTCATGAATATTCTTTGTTTCATAACAAGAGGGTTGGGGAGGTAGCTCAGAGGTAGAGTGCTTGCCCCGGATGTGCATGGCCCTGAATTTGATGCCTAGTACCACAGAAACTAAAATAAAAAAATAGGGGCTGGGGATATAGCTCAGTAGCATAAGCGCCTGCCTGGCAAGCGCAAGGTCCTGAGTCCAATCCCCAGTACTGCAAAAAAAAATAATAATAATAAAAATTAAAAAAACAAGAGGGAGAGAAAAGTCAGCCCTAGATAATTGTAAACATATATTTCTAAATATGGGATATCTGAAGTGGTGGAGCTTTGTAAACATTTTAAATAAATTGATAACATTTGCTATCTTGAGAGAATCAACTATACCTACTGTTTTGCAGTTATAAAGCAGCTTGTCCTTTTGCTTCTTAGAAGACCTTACAGACTTTTTTTCTTTAGGGAGTATGTATGTGGTGTTAAGGATCAAACAGGGTTCCACATATGCGAACACCCTACCAATGATCTATACCCATAATCTCTGACAGATTTCTTAACATTGATGTATTCAATTTACTCTATATTTAACACTCAGCAAAGATTATAAACATCATATGATGTAAGCCCATCATTACTTTACCACTTAAAAACATCATAAGCAATTATAAAGTTGGAAACTTTATCCTAATTTGCAGGTAGCTCAGGAAGCAACTTGGACTTACTGTATAAGTGAGTTGAGTGTGACAGAGGTGTGGTGTAAATCATTAGAGAAAGGAAAAAAGCAATGGGAAGGGAAAACCCACAGTTTAGGATAAAGGTTTGAGGAGAATGGAGATTAATCAAGTTCAGCAGTTCACATGAATGCACTAACATGACTGGGTTTAAATCCTAGCTCTGGTACTGACAACTCTGGAGTTTAGATTTCTCATTTGCAAATTGAGAATAAAAATGTCTTATAAGATTGGTATGAGTATGAAATTGAGACAAAATATATAATGTACTTACTAGAGTGCCTGGCACATGGTAATATTTTGATGAATGATAATTACTATTCTTGCTATTATATTCTGATGGACTTCTGTGAAGATTTTGTTTTGTGGGCTTGGGGTATATCTCAGTGGCACAAGCACCTGCCTCACAAGGGCAAGGTCCTGAGTTCAATTCCCAGTAGCCCCCCAAATTTTTTTTGTTTTGTTTGCAGATTTTTGTGGATCTCTTAGTACATACTAATCTTGTCAGATTTATTGGAGTACTTTAGTGCATGCTTCTCTATTAGTAGTTTACCTTGGCACAACATACTTAATGATTATTATTTGTTCACATTGATAAAGTTCTTAAGTGCAGCAACAGTCTTATCTTGGTGTCCCCTGTGCTAGTTATACTTAGTTTCTTGCCTTATGAGAAAAAAATCCTTGGTATTTTTGTAACTGAAATCAATAAATAATAGACCACATTCAGTCTGCGTTCTTCTCTTGGCAGCAAGTTGATAAATTTCCAGTGTGGGTTATATGAGCTTCATCTTCACCTACAGTATCACCTTCACTTGTTTATTTTTTAATTGCTGATATACATGCATCTGGTTTTTGTGATACTTAATCGCAATTACAAGGAGATTTAGAAGTTAAAATTGTAACATAAGTAGCTAAACACCAGAAAGAAAGCAAAGATATATATCTTTGGAACAGCAATTCTGAAATTATTTTTATACAGTGTAACAACAAAGACATATACTTCGTTATTTTACAAATTTTAAGTTCCTGGTTTATATATTTTATTGAAGCAGTTACCTTCGAACGTCCACATCATTCCAGCATTGTCTTCCTACCATTTTTCTTCTACCATTTAGTTATTTTATCCTTATTCAGTTTGTTTCACATTAAAGGATCATTTTATTTGCAGTCAGTGGAATGTGGTTTGGAACCAGTAGTGGCTTTATCTTAAACCCAGAGCCTAATCTCATCTGAACTCAAATGCCTGACTCAAAAGAGGAGCTGGGCAGTATTGCTAAGCTTTCAGCACCTTATCTCTAAGAATCTTTCATTCCATAGATTTCTGAGCTCTTAGTATAATCTGTTTTGTGTATTTGTTGCAGATTTCCATTGTGAATACACTGGCAAAATATGTCATTAATCTAAACGTTTTAATGCAATGGGGATTTATTCCTGGTTTCAAAGGCATAGACAGGAAACCTTAGGTTCAAAGGTAGTGAATAACAAGAGAAAATTGCTAGTGATGACATAGGTGCAGCTTCCCACAGTGCTCGTTTGGCTCAGGTACTCTAGGAATAAGAATTCTCAGAATTACATAGCACAGCAGATAGATTGCCTGGATACCACACTTCCAGAAGAAGGAAAATGTAGTCAAGAGTAAGCGGTTTTCTATCTTAACAATGAAATAACATAAGAAGCACTCCAAATGTGCCATTGGTCTTAACCAAATAGCAGACAGTTCTTTTTGTTACTTCCTCAATAGCTCTTTGTTTTCTTTTGGTAGAGGAAGGTAAAGCTTAGGTTAAAACTTTCAGCTTAGCATGCGTGAGGTCCTGGGTTTGCTCCCAGCACCCCTGAAAACCTTTCTCCTCAACAATAAAAACTTTCCTCCTAAGTACTGAGGGACTTTAGAAGAGAACGCATTTATACTCTGTGAGGACATTAATATGAGAATTTACTGTAGGAATGAAAAAGCAGAGAGATGGGGCAAAGTCTCAGATCAGCCTTTTCTTTATACATATCTCATTCCTGTTGAAGAGACAATGTTGTCATCACCACATTCAGCATTCTTTTCTTCCTCTAGCTTTCCGCTCTTTTAATGACAAATATTCTGCAGTACTGATTGATTATGATCAGTTGACATTTGTGTTAAGTTCTTTAAAGGGCTGCTTCAGGACCAGCCTTTGTGCTGTAGGAATCCAAGTAGTCAAAACTATTAAAATAGCAAGTTGAAATACTAGAGTTTGCTGCTTGCTTTTTGTCAAACGCTGCATCAGCTCTTTCAGTATCTTCCCTGATGAATCCTTGCAACTAATACTTTCCAAGATTCTGGCAGCTAAAAATTTAGGCTCTAGTAGCACCCTGTCCTGCCACCCACTAGTTATTTTTACTGTGTCTTCCCCAAATGTTAGTTCCCCTTCTTTCCAGCCCAGATGTAGGCATTCTTAGAAGCTGAAGTTGGGAAAATACTGAATTTCCGTCTGTTTTACCCTCTCAGGAGAGAATGATTATGGCACGTACTTGCACACCCATTAGGAAATGTTGGCAGTCACTGATCTTTTTGAGAGTTTAAGGTCTAGGAGCATCAAAAGTCCCAGAAAGAAATGGAGGAATTTTCAAGTTTGGTGGAACACTAAACTTCCTTATATTATTCCTTAACATATTATGGAAAAAACCCAATGTAATCTCCCTTTCTAGTGTAGTCAGTCTTGAAATTCTGGTTTCACATGTTCTCAGGAAGTAGTTATAGTGGTATGTTAGGTAACCTTTCAACATCCCTAGACCTATCTTATTTTCCCTGGAGGACTTTATTCTAAGGACATTGCTGAATGACACCTACTAAATATTTCCTTCTAGATATGTCCAGCTCGGAAATCCTTAGAGGCATCTGATTTGAAAAGAAATTCCACAGTTGCTCCAGTAAATGTTTCTTGTATTGGTTAGCAATCCTCTCTGAATGTCAAGATGGAAGGCTTTTTGTAGACCTTTGTCACACATTTTAGACTACTTTTATAGTTCTTATTTTAGGGTTCAATGTCAGTTGGGATATTGATAGTTGATAGAAGAGTACAAGCTCAATTCGTTCTTCTCCATCTGCCAGTACTTCAACTCCTCTTGACGTTTATTTCCAAAACTTATGACAAATGAAGTTGAATCAGAGAAGACTACACACTTCCTCTCCAGGAATTTTTTAGAAGTGGTTATCTCAGTATATGGTGCAAACAGGTATAATATAAGGCTGTGGATTCTGTTTGACTATGTGAATAATCACAGTAATTCAGTAGTCTGCAGAAATGCATAGAAAATTTAGGAACAACACCCATTTCTTCTTGATCATACTGAATTGAAGCACTGATACAAAACATCCTGGGGAGAAATTTTAGGTGTATTCACTCCCTTTTCCCCAGTCTTCTCACCTCCTGTTCAACAAATGATTTGCACTCCCGCTTCCCTACCCCAGCCCAGAGGCACAATGAGATGCCTTTTTGGAGATGATCAGCGTACATCCTTTTGCTTGTTTGGTGTCGTATAAGGAAAGTGCTCATCTGAATCTGTTCCATGGGATGTTCCATGGGATGCTTAAATGACCTTTTCTCTTCTCTGAGGGAGTTTGTGTGGCTGGTGACAGAGTTCCAATAGCTGGAAGAGTCCTAAGATCCTGACTCCTAGGAAAGTACGGGAGTGAAGTCCACTCTAATTCAGACAGTTTGGAAGGCTTTGCTCTGGCTGGGGATTGTGCTGGGGGTGGTTTCTGCTTTGGTCAGGGTAGCATGGTGAACTTTCTTTGGTTCAGAACATCTCACCTCTGGCCCCACTAGGCTGTATGCCTGGGTGGCCAGCCCTGGCTGGGGTGCTGCTTCAGTTGACATTGTCTGCTGGCTACGTGAGGCACTATTTGCTGTGGAGCGAGTGGAGGAAGAACAAGAGCGTGAGCTCTGTGAGCCTGAGGAGGAGGAGCTAGGTTTCACAAGGCGGGCCTTTGGGGCTTCAGCATCTTCTCTAAAGAGAAAAATAGCAAAGGTAAACTTTAGTATTGTTGGGACTGTGATTGCCTCTGCTATGGTTAATTCATTCTGAAGTTTCCCCCAAATTTCTCAAACTATAAACCTCAAATACACCATCAGAAGGCAGTCATTTAGGGAACTAAGCAGATCTTTACTTCCTGAGATTAATGCTTGGTTTAGGCAACTGTTTCATTTGTTAGCTCAGAAGTCCATTCTATTACACTGCAAGGGTACATCTCAACATGAGATGGTACACTTGTCCTACTTTAGGGTTTGACAGCGTTTGTATACATAACCCTTTTCATAGTCTATAGGTATATTCATCCTTTATTGCATGCCATTTAAAAGTGGAAGTGAATCAAAAGTAATAAAAAATTGAACTTTTATACCTCTGTTAAGGATAGTTTCACAATAACGTCCCAGTAAACCAGACCTTCTGTTCCTAGGCTACAACTTCCTGCTATTAGAATTCATGTTCAGAGGAAGCAGGATATTTATATTTACTGGTTACTGTGGAACTGATTCTAGAAAGGAAGCCCATTAGGAGTGGGGATTTGGGGCTTACCGGATTTCATTCGGTCTCTCTTCTTCCTCATATCTTTTTTTGTCTTTCCTTCGGATTATCAGCCACACCAAGAGGAAAATCAGCAGGGCTCCAGCCACTATACCTGTCACTGCTCCTGCAACCATGCCGATGCTTTGTACATCTGTTTTCTCAGAAACAGAAGCACAAGTGAACATAAGCTAGGAAATACATTAATTAAAAAATAAGCCCTGCATAGAATAAAAATCTCTAAATCTGTTTTCCAGAGTAGCACCCGATCACCCTCGTTTAACTGTCCCTTTTGATATTTTTGCAGTTGTGGTTATTAAACCACAGATATAGCTGTTGAATCACAGACTTCATTTGTAATTTGTCAACATTTTAATAAGACTGAATTCGTCCAGATGATAAAATTAGGGTATCATGTTTAAAGACTTGTAAGCCTTAACAAGACAGTTAGGTAATCCTTTGGCCCTGCAAACTTCCCTGCTTTCTCTTCTTTTCCTTTTCTGCCATTGGAAAAAAAGAATATGCTTACAATGTTAGACTCTGAGATTCTAACATTGTTACCTGTCGTTCTTCTAAATTGAGAAGTCAAGGTAAATGTAATTTGCATATTAGTAAAACACTCATTTGTACACCAAATATTTATTAAGTACTTACCAGGCATGGTTTTGGTCAAATCCATTTTGGACCAGTTTTAACATCTTAATAGCTTCCTCTTTAAGTAGTCAAGTAGTCTGTGTGTTTGTTTTTGTGATGCTAGGGATTAAACCCTGGAACTCATGCACGCTAGACAAGCACTTATGCTTTTAAAATTTTTTTTGGTGGTGCTGGGCGATCAAACTGAGGTACTCCCGCACCGAGTCATATCCCTAGCTTCAAAGTACATGTCTTTAAGAGGCTATTTAATTCCCACGTTTGTCAGAAGAATCCAGCAGTTGTTGAATGGTCCCTACAACTGCTGAATTTATTTTGGTAATAACCGTACTCCTTTGGCTTTGACCCTTTCCTTAAGATTAAAACATATTACCCTAAGCTAAAACAGAAAACCCTTGTGGGTACTTACACTGTACGGTCACTCGCACCACACAGCTCTCTTTCCCAGCCTCATTGCCTGCTGTGCATTGATAGAGCCCAGAAGAAGACATGGTAAGATTCTGCAGCAGAACTCGACCAGGGTTGTTGAAGTCTATACAAGCAGAGTGACAATAAATCCCCTTAGTAACAGTTTATTGTACTGCATCGTTTGCCTAAGATTCTGTAATACAGTTTGATAACAATGAGATGATAGGACATGAAAAACCAGGTAAATATTTTTTAAACTGTAGTACATCCTCAAAAGTTACAAAACAGGGCTGGGGATTTAGCTCAGCGGCAAAGTGCCTGCCTGGCAAGCGCAAGGTCGTGAGTTCGGTTCCTGGTACCGGAGAAAAACAAAAAAAAAAACCAAAACAACAAAAAGTTACAAAACACTGTGAACATTTGAGGGGTAGTAAACAAAATAATTAGATATTGTGGAGTTATATAGTATATTTCTTCCAATCTCTTTTTAATACTTTTAAATGCCATTTGAAGTTTTTTTCTATCCTAGTTTACATACAGATGGAAGGAAAAAAAAGGAAGCTCAAAGAGGTTCAGCAGTATATTCAAGGTCATGTAGTGAGTTGCTGACCAAGTAGATTTGGAATTCTCAGGTACAGTAGTATCTTGTTGGCCCAGTAGAATGGTGGAAGATGACTCACCAATTGTAGCTTTGGGAGGCAAATGTTCATCCTCTCCCTCTTTCTCTCGAATTCGCTGCCAGTAATACACAATAGGCTTTGTGCCAGAGGATGACTCACACTGCAGAGTCAGATCACTTCCTTCGGTCAGCTCTCCTTCTAGCTCACACTTGGGCTTGGATGGTCTCACTGGAGAAAAAAGTATAATGATTCAAAGCTTCTCCAAATACCAGATTTAGTGGAGAAACAGTCCTATTGAGCTGTTTCTCTAGATACTACTTATGGTTGATTTCAGAGTTGGGATTCAGCTAGCCATGCTTCATCCCCAGGTGTCAGCCCATCCTGTTCTTTACACCACATACAATTCCAGCTCCCACCAGTGGTCCTATTGTAATTTTCAGCAGTTGCCCCAGAAACTCCCAATGCACTTCTCAGTGTGGGAATAATCTCAAAGAAGAAACACTGTTATTAGAAAGTTAAGCATGAATTTACTAATGCTGAAGCACTGATAAAATATATTAACTTGGAAGTAATTACGTATAACTTGATAGTTTTTGCTGTCAAAACCAAAATAAAACAAAAACAGATGAGAGCCAGGTATGGTACACAACTGCAATCCTAGCACTCTGGGAGGCTGAGGCAGGACTGCAAGTTCCAGCCCTGCCTGGACAGCTTGGCAAGACCTGTCTCAAAATTTAAAAAAAAAAAAGGGCTGGGGATATAGCTCAGTATGAATGTTCTGGGTTCAATTCCTAGTACCACTAAAAAAAAATGGGAGGGGTGTTGGCGGCTGGGGATATAGCTCAGTATGAATGTTCTGGGTTCAATTCCTAGTACCACTAAAAAAAAATGGGAGGGGTGTTGGCGGCTGGGGATATAGCTCAGTGAAAGTCCCAGGTGCAATCCCTAGCACTAAAGAAAATAAAGAATTTGACTCATGCTTGAGAGATTTAAATACAAGTAAGAATGTAGTGTAAGAATGTAGTGTTTGCTTAGCATGCACAAGGACCTGGTTCTAGTTGCGGCACTACCACCACACACAAAAAATAATAATATAAAAATATATATACGAATAGCTGCAGTACCTGTATTGCTGATGTCTGATGGTGTACTGAAATGAATAGTTAATACTTACGATTTTTTATGTTCTGATCGATTGTGCATGCTTGTGTCTGGTGGTCTGAGCCACTGATTTGAAGGTAATAATATGCACTGGAATTACAATGGTGAATTCCTACCATCTTGTCTAGTGATACTCTGTATTATCTCTAATGTTTTATTGAAGAATTATTTTGTTATTCTCTTTAATGGTTTGAGCAATCTTTCATTCTTACATCTGGTAATCTGAGCAATGTAGTTGAGGATAGCAATATGTAATGTAACAGCCACTGTTGATTTGTATTATTTTGTCTTTAGACCCTGTACCACTTTGAATGTTCTTGCTCTGATTTGTTTATGTTCGTGATACTGGTGTGCTGCTACTGTTCTATTTTTTGTTTGTTTGTTTGTTTCTCATTTACTACTCTCTTTAAAATAAAAAAAACTTAAAAAAATAATAATATAATAAAATATAAAGGTCCCATTCAAATGTTAGAGGTTATTTAAATTTTGTGATGGACTACTATGGAAAATTGTGATTATATTTTCCTTTTTCATTATGACTAATACATAGAACATATGCTCTGTGGGGAACTGGACTAAGTGACCTCTAAGTGGATAGATAATACACAGTACTCAACACAAAGTTTTGTAGCACCATAATGCACTTGACAGACCCTCCCAGAGACCTCATTAGGAGGTAGATGTTCACCTTGGCACCCTGCCTTACCTAAGACTTTTAAGATGACGTAACTCCACATGTAGCGCCCTGAGTTCTTCACCTTACACGTGTACCGGCCCTCATCACTGGGCTTCAGAGGCTCAATCTGCAGGGAGGCATCTCCTGCCAGGAAATTGGAAGCAAAGGCCACTCGGCCCTTCTGTTCCTCAGAGAAGTTACTGTAGACACGACGACTGGAGTAAGTGATCACCTGTAGGACAGAGCAAGCCAGGATCAAACACATAGCCCTCAGCCTTCCTCTTCGGCTGATGTTACCAAGATGAGGAAAGGGAATACTCCCAGTGGCACAAAGTAGTCAAGCTTGGAACTGATTTTAAAAGGTCTGAGAGACCTCTGTTCTAAAAAAAAACCACATTTCTCCTTCCAAGAATAATACCTTATACTGTGTAGCATTTAATTAAAAAGTACTAGTTATTTCATTGGATGCTCAGAAACACTCCATTTTGTGAGTCAGGAACATGAATTGTGTACTGAAGATCACACATGTAAGTTAAGGCAAGTTGCCAATGTACAGTTATATACATATTAAGATTAGACTATTTCTGAAAGGGTACCCAATAAATGGTGGGAAGCACCACTGGGCTACTTACCAGCCCTTCTTAAAAATTTTGAGACACCGTGCTAAATTCCCCTGACTGGCCTCAAACTTGTGATACTCCTGTCTGGGCCTCCTGAGTAGCTAGAATTACAGGCATCCATCACTGTGCCTGGCTTTATCTTTTGCATTTTCTACTGTTTGCATGGGGTTTCTTTGAAGTACACTATATTCCTAATGCTAGGTGTTTTTAGATGCTATCTAGTTCATTTCTCACCCCAGTTTTCCAAGTAGTTGTATTTTCCCTAAGGAGTTATTGTCTTAGTTTCTTTTCTGGTTGCTGAGACAAGATACCCAACACTCAAAGAGGGAAAGGTTTAGGCTGGGTGTAGTGGCGCACACCTGTAATCCTAGCACTTGGGAGGCTGAGGCAGGAGGATCACTGCCAAGTTGGAGGCCAGACTGGGCTACAAAGTGAGTTCATGGCCAGCCTAACCTGCATAGTGAAACCCTGTCTGAAAAAGACCAAAAAAGAGGAAAGTTTTATTTCGCTCGCAATCTGTTGAAGTTTCAGTCCATAATCAGCCAGCTCCAAGGCGGGGTGGCTTGGCAGAGAACAGTTCATGGTGGGCAGAATATAGCAAAAGCAATAAGGGGAAGACAAGCCTCTTTCTGTCCTTTACACTGTATCCTGTCTACCAGGATTAGGGCGGTGCCAATCCAATCAGTGGATTGATTTAGTAATCACCCACCCTTAACTCTAGCATTGTACATGAATCAGTCACACACTCTAGATTCAGCCGCCTCTGGAAAAAACCCCACCTGTGACTCCATGAGGCTTTGTGGGGACATCTAGACAAAACCCATAACAGTTTTTATCCCCATTTCACAGAGAGGATTGCAGAACCAGGATTCATTTGAACAGAAACCTAAAAACATTGAAGTCTTTGTTCTTATGTGCCACAGTTACCTCTTGCATTAATTAATTAACTGCTCATTAACCGTTCTTCCAGGAAGTTTAGAAGTGGAGAACAAAAAGTGAAACTGAAAAGTCAATCTTTTGTTCTTACAAAACTCGAGAGTCTGAGTGAAGGGAATGGAGAAGTTAGGAAGTAAAAGTTAATGGTTAAAATGAAGATATGATAACTGAGGGCTTCATTGTTCGGTTCTCTCTTTTTTTTTTTTTTTGCTTTACTACAGATTAGTGATAATAAGTTAGGTGGGAGAAATTAAGTTTCTTCCTTTCATAAAATATAAATACATGTGCTAATGTCATTGTTTTCCCAGTTATAGAGACCAAAGTTTAGATTTCCCCAGCAGAAAAAAAAAAATCTCAATTTTTAGTGAATCTTTGCTTGCTTGCGTGACAGCATCTAGTTCTTTAACCTTTCCCTGGATTCTCTTAGTCTGTCCCTCCTGTTAGTCACAAAATACCATGCTGATCTGGTCCCCCAAAACTTTAGTCATTTAACTTTAGCTTTATTTTCCCTGTGACTCAGCAATCATGTTCTTAAACTCATTTGATTTAAACATCAGCAAACATGGAGTGAATGCTTCTCATCAAGTCTGAAAGAAGCCATTCAGATGAGTAAGTCTCTCTTCTTGTCTTCAAGTAATTTACAGTCTGGTAGGATTATCAGAAGAGAAGTGTAAACATAGAAAAAGGGAATGGTTTACTTAAAATAGCATCATGGGGAGAGTCTCAGAAAAGTTGGTGGTGTCTGCATTAGGCTTTAAACGATGAGGTAGCTAAGTAAGAGGTAGAGAAGCAGGAAGGAAAAGGCTGGAATGAACATTCCAGATGCACAGAGTAGTACTAACGGGGCAGGTAAGCACATGGGAGTCTCACGAGCACAGTTTTGGCTGCAGCTGTTACAGATTGTTTTACTCTAAACCCTTAACTCATCTCCAATCACATGATGCTCTGCAGCTCATCAGATGGAGAGCAAATCTTTTCTCCTGAAAAGATTTAAGGCTATCTAGTAAAATGTCCATCAGTTCTCTCCATTATATCAAAATTCTTCAGTATCAGCACCCATTTTACTTTTACCACCTTTCTAAGAAAAATATTTTCTCAGGCAGGCACAGGGATGGGGAGAGGGTGATTTCCAAATTCAAGCCTGACCTGGGCAATTTAGTGACTTGGCAAGAGCCTGTCTCCAAAAAAAAAAAAAAAAAAAAAAATTTACTGCGGAGCCAGCTCAGTGTGAAGGACCTGGGTTTAATCCCCAATAACAATAGCGACAACAACAAAAGCTTTTTTTCCTTTCTCTGAATATTTTTCTCAGCAGATATTTACTGAGCTCCCATGGCAGGTACTGCACTCATCACTGAGAAAACAAGTGAGAACAGAATGAAATCCTCACACTACAAGTTCATAGTCTGAAGAGCTCAAGTAAGGAAAGGGGAAATGGAAAGAAGTAAGAGAACACTAAACACTGTAACTGAACTAAAACATTCATTCAATGTTGTCCTCTCACTTCAAATATCACCACTGCTATGACAGTTCTCATATCCTATCTCTATCCCCAACATGGCTGAGCTTCAGCTTGGTTTTTTTTTTTGTTGTTTTGTTTTTGCCTTTTTAAAAATTTTTGAGATGGGGCATTGTTTTGTTGCCCAGGCTGGCCTCAAGAGAGCCTCCTGGCTCCGCCTCCTGAATTGCTAGAATTTCAGTTTTGTGCCTCTGTGCACAGTGTGAGTTCCAGTTTCATATCTCCAGTTGCCTGGCTGTTATATACTTAAAACAATCTATTATATACGTAAAACAATCTGTAACAGCTGCAGCCAAAACTGTGCTTGTGAGACTCCCATGTGCTTACCTGCCCCGTTAGTACTACTCTGTGCATCTAGAATGTTCATTCCAGCCTTTTCCTTCCTGCTTCTCCAATTCTACACACTACTGCAAAGTTAATGTTATTAATATACAACACACAACTGTTTTCTAGCTCAGAAATGCTAATGGCTCCCTAACACCTCTGAGCGATGACCAGACAAGGGTCTTTAAAATGACCTCTGTGTTACCGTCATGCTCCTTCCGTACTCTGGCACTTCATGCACCTGAGTGCAATCCGTCTGACCTCATTTTCCTGTTGTTAGCATGAGCTCTGCTTTGTGTGTGCTCCTAGGCCCTTGTTCACTGCATCTTCCCACTTAGAACTCCCTTTTCTCCATCTTCTGCCTACAGAAATCCTATTCATTCTTTTTAGTCCAAAATCAATATTAACTTCTCATGAAACCTTTCCTAATAGGACCCTCAGACTGAGACTGAGTCTTATGCATAGCCTTTCTTTGCAACATTTCTTTTTTGAAAGTGAAGGGGGACACTGGTGATTGAACCAGAACCTTGCCAGGCTAAGCACAAACTCCACTGACCTACACTCCCAGCCTCTACATCACTTTTATATGAAGATGAATTATGAAAGACTTATGGGGAAATGGGTTGCTGGGTGGTTTTTTGTGTGTGTTGCAGGGCTCTGTTGAAGGACTCTTCAGAGTTATCTGATTTTATGTACGTCTGTTGTTTTTGTCACTGGCTAGGATATTTTATGACTCTTCATTCAACAAGCATTTATTAGCCATTCCTGTAATCCTAGCACTTGGAGGCTGAGATAGAAAGACCATGTGTTTGAAGCTAGCCAGTCTACATGGTAAGACCCTGAAACAAACAAACAAACAGCATTAAAGGCATGTTCTGCACTTGGTATTCTGCTAGAGATAGTAACAATACAAAAAAAGTATCTTAAGTGTTACTTAAGTAACACTTAAATAATGCTTAAGACACTTTTTTTTTAAGATAAAAAAGGTAAAATCATTACTGTCGTATATACATGACAAACATGTCAGGGATTTTATTTTATTATTAATGATAGAACTAATAAGATGTTATAACCAGTTCAGATGGGAATTGGGACTAAAAGATAAACAGTCGTTGGACAAAATTTATTTGTATTTCTGTGAACAAGAATGATTTACATTGCTATGCATACAGAACATTAGTACTACTCTCGGCCATCCAAAGTTAATTTCCATGTTTGTAAAATTAATATAGGAGGAAAATTAGACCCTAATTTATCTCTAGAAAACCTGGACTCTAAACCTTTTAGACTATAAAAAGAAAAGGCCTTTTCCCAAGATGGGTTTCAGAGCATGGAAATGAACCCAAGACTTCAGGAAACAAATCCCTTTCCCCTCACCCCAAAGCATGCAGCTTTCTCCTTCCCACAATTTATAGCTTCTGTTGAAAAGAATGCAGCAATATAAGATAAACTGTTTTGATATTTTAACTAGAGGCTGCATCTTTTTGGATTAAAATAATGCATTTATTGTACTTTTCTGAGTATTCTTTACCATGAAAATGATGTTCAGGAGCCACCGGCTAGTACACATGTGAGGCCAATGCAGTTTTGACCAGGCCTTGTATTTGTCTCCTGCATTCACAGCTCTGAATCAACTCGTTTTCAAACCTGATGTTTCTTGACATCTGAGCAGTGAGCTCTGGTGTGCCTTTGGCTTTGATCATCAGTCTTCTCAGAAATGCCTGTCTCTCTTTTCTTTTTCTTTGAATAACACTTACACAGGCCTATATATATATATATATATATATATATCCTTTCCCAGCTCCCCAGTGACAATGGCGATGCCCTAGTTCAAGC